TCCTATCATCTCTTGTCGTTTTAGCTCATGCTAAACCTGAAGCCGGTTATTCGTACAGCGCACCGGCAGCCCCGAGCTCTAGCTATGGCGCACCGGGAGGTGGATTCGGAGGCAGCGGTTTAGGCGGTCACGGAGGAGGACATGGCGGATTAGGAGGAGGTTTGGGCGGATTAGTTGGATTAGGCGGAGGAGTTAGCGGATTCGGAGGAAGCGGTCTCGGTGGAAGCGGTCTCGGGTAAGAGTCTCGACTCTCCCCGAAAATCAGTTTCAAAAATTATTGTTTAATAAAATTTTAATTTTTTGAATCGCAGAGGTGGATTCGGAAGCGGAGGATTAGGCGCTGGTGGATTTGGTGCTGGAGGCGCTGGTGGATTCGCTGCTGGAGGTGGTGGTGGTTTCGCTGCCGGAGGTGGTGGTGGATTTGCTGCCGGAGGCGGTGGTGGATTTGCTGCCGGTGGTGGTGGCGGTGCTACTGTCCAAAAACACATCTACGTTCACGTTCCCCCACCAGAACCAGAAACTTTCAGACCAAGCAGACCAATCCAAGTTCCAACCCCACAAAAACACTACAAAATCATCTTCATCAAAGCCCCAACCCCACCAACCCCAACTGCTCCAGTTCTTCCAGCTTTCGCTCAAGATGAACAAAAGACTCTCATCTACGTTTTGGTTAAAAGACCAGAAGAAGCTCCAGAAATCACCGTACCAACCCCAGCTCCAACTCAACCAAGCAAACCAGAAGTTTACTTCATCAGATACAAAACTCAAAAGGAAGGAGGTGGATTCGCTGGAGGTAGGCTTCGATTCGCGAAAATCCTTTCTAGGAATAAAAAATTTCATCAGACAAAAACCTAATGAATGCCTTTTTTGTTTGTTCGTTAAACAGGAGCTGGTGGAGCTTTCGGAGCTAGCGGCGCTGGTGGTGCCGGTGGATTCGCTGCTGGTGGTGCTGGAGGATTCGGTGCCGGTGGTGCCGGAGGATTCGGAGGAGTCGGTGGAGTCGGAGGATCTTTTGGAAGCACCGGAGGCGGTTCTTTCGGTAGCACAGGAGCCGGTGGCTTTGGAGGTGCTGGTGGTCACGGTGGTGCTGGCCACGGTGTTCACGGTGGCGGTGGCCACGGTGCCGGAAGCGGCTCTGTATCTGGTTCCTATGGACCACCAGGACAAAGCGGCCCATACTAAGTTAAAATCGAGTCATAAAGTCCGTCATTGTTCATTTCCTCTTGGAAAACATCAATGACAACGGAAAAACCATTTCGCCATGTTGTTACTTGCAACCTTTCATTGCTTTTGTAAATAGTCCTCCCTTATAAAATCATTTATTGTATTTGTTCCCCTTCCATGTGTGTGCATTTTAATTGTAAATTCGGTGGCACTTAATATATGTATTGTGTATGTGTGTGTTAAATAAATTTTGTCTACTTTTTTATTTTTTTTACCTTTTAATAATTTTTTTCCTTACCAAAATAATTATTTTAAATATACACAAATATAAATAAAAAAAAATATAATTTATTTACGTTTTTAAAAAAACCAGAAATTACTTTTCCGCTTTTTTTCTTTCTTCTTTTCCTCTTTAGTTTATTTTTTATGTAAAATTACTTTCTTTAAAAAATTTTTCTTTTTTTAATAAACCTGTCAGCCTGCTAATTTTTAATATGACTCGGTTTTTTTCCATTAAAATATATATTTTTATGTTTCATCTTAATATTTAATTTGACTTTTCCAAATGAGTTTTTGTTTGGTATATCACTCCACGCTCACTTTCATCTAATAAAACCTGTCATGAAAGTAAAATATTATTGCTTCTTCACTACCACCACCACCACTAAACTTTCTTACTTTTGTAATAAAAAAAACTTATACATACACACATACATAAGTTTTAAATTAACTTGTTAATTAAGTGATACATACTACTTTTGCTGTTTTATTGCATTTTTTCTTCTTTTTTTTTGCTCAACATCACCTTTCATTGCCCTTTCACTAAATTTTATAGGCAACAAAAAAAAAAAAAAACTTTGCCAAATCATACTTTTGGTAATCATCATCATCATCGTCATTCATGTAATACTTTATTTATTATTATTATTATTATTGTTTTTTTAAAAATCTTCTTTATAAAAAATAACCATTGAATATTTTTATTATATTCTGTACGAGTAGTATTGTTTTTGTTCCTTTTGTTTTCTTCCTTTTAGAAAGCTCAAAACTTTTTATTATACAAAAATCATTTGATAATTTTGTCATGACATGATACATGTTAATAATATTTAATACCATAACTGGTATTAAATAAAATAAAAAGGAAATTATTTTTTAAAGTTAATAAAATATTTCTTTTTGGCATGTACATACATTGTGTTGACTACAAAACGTTTGCAGAATAAAAAATTCTTGGGTTTACCTCAAATGCTCTATAAATAATTTATTGATGGCAAATTTGTGTCTCTACTTGTAAAACCTGTGAAAACAATAATAATAATAATTATTTTGTGTACTTCATTGACTTCTTTTACTTTGGAGAAATTAAAAAAAATAAAATTATACAATAAATTGCACTGGATAAGCTTGTTTATCGTATAAATTGCTTAATAAAAATAAAAAATTACCACAAACTTGTCTGTTTAGTTAAGTTTTTTTTTTTTTTTTTTTTCCAGAATTACAATAAATCATCTTCTCCATGGTTGGTTTTTTTTTTTTTTATTAGGTTTTGATCCTTTCACTCTTTTTGCTTTTCGCTATCTAAAAGCATGAGGATGAGACATATGTTAAAACCTAAAAATAAAAATTTTAAAAGTAATATTAATAATAATAATAACGTGCGTATAAAGAGATTTTTTATTTAAAAATTTAAAATAAAATCGTTTCTAAAACGTACCTGGATTAATTGATAATTATTTGGATTGCGTAACAAACTGGAAGATTTTAAGTGAAAGTCTTTTGTCTAATGTCGTGTTTTCGAATGAGTTTTTATTCTTTTTGATGGCGCAATTTTAATATCATATAAACGCTTTAAGATGATTATGGTTAAATTTATTGTTGAATGGTTAAATTTTTATATTTTATTTTATTTTTATTTTAATTCCGTGTTTTTTTTTATATAAATAAATATATATAAATACCCACGTATATGTACAATGATTACAAATTGTGTTGAATTTTTTTTACTTTATCTATATAAAAAGATATATATTATATAATTCTAAAATAATCTGGTTGCACATCTCATGTTGTTGCTAAATGGTATGAATGGTATTTAATTACAATAAACTAGAAAACTTTTAGGCTTTTTTTTTTTTTTTCAACAAAATAGTTTTGACATTTAAAATTATTTTTGAAATTAAACGTTTTAAAAGAGGTAAATGAGAGAGAGAGAGAGAGAGAGAGAAAAAAAAAACTTAACGACGTTTAATTTTACTTGTTTACGAAAACCGTTAATTTCGATATTTTAAAAACGTGGATCCAGAATGACGAACGTTACTAAATAAACTAAACCTTTTTTCCCGCCTTTTCCTTTTCTTTACTTCACATCGTACTTTTTAAAATTTTATAAATAATTCGTAAATAAAACACGGTGAGGGTAGTAATTAATTTGAAAATACGAAGGGAATTTAAATAAATAAAAGTGTGATGTAATTGTAATTAAAATTGTAGATTTCGGTGAGAAATTTAATATTAATTTAATAAATTTGAATTTTAACGGATTATTATTTCCCTCGAAATTATTCGTAAAAAATTAAGACTTGTACGCCATCTATACAAAAAATAACAAATTACAACAAAAATTAAAACACTCGTAGTTAATAATAAAAAACGTTAGATGTCGCGGGCATCTCTATTTAACATTAAATATAACAATTTTTAGTTATTCTTTTTTTAGTTTTCAGATGTCGTGTAAGAAGCATATCTTCTTTTTTTAAGTAAAAGTTAAAGACACGATTTAATGTAAGTATTAAATAATTTATTACTCGTAATTTCGATTTATTTATTTTAAATATTATTTTTTTTTTTTTTTTATATTTATGTAACGAATTTTTGATTCTTTTTCGATAAAAAATTCTCACAGAAAAAATTAACGATTTTCGATAAAAAATCACGATCGTGGCATTTTATTAAGTTAAACGTTTCTTCCGCGTTCATAAAATTTTATTTTCCAAAAAAAAAAAACAAAAAAATTATATCACGATCAAAAAGAAAAAAAAATGAATCCCATCGAATATAATAAAAATATTTTTTATTTTGTTAAATAATAATAATAATAATTAATGAATTCAATTGATTGAAAAAAAAATTAAATATTTATTTATAGAAAAATAATATTTTTTTGCAACATAAAAATTTTTTTTTTATTAATATTAAAATACATAAGTAAGTCGTCTCTTCTTAAATTATTTATTGAGGTAAAAGGAATTAATTATTATTATTATTATTATTATTTTTAAAAATAATCGTGAGTAATAATTTAATAATTTTTATTTAAAAAAAAAAAAAAAACTAGTTTTATTTATTTATTTTTATTTTTTAACATAAAATTTTTTTGAAAAAAAATAAATTTTATTTTGAATTCGCGGATAAACCGTTCGTTTTACGACATTTATTTATTATTTAAAAAAAATTATTAATAATTATTTTGTAAATTTTAAAATTTATTAAATAATATTTTGTAAAATTTTAATTTTATGATCTCATCACAGTAGGACGTATCATACATACTTTGAATAAATAAAATTTGTTTTTTCTTTCTTTTCGCAATGAATAATAATAATAATAATGATAATAAATGTGTAAAACATTAAAAATAAAAATTTTGTAATTTATTAATTCATTTAATGTTAAAAAAAAAAATTTTTATTTTTTTGTAGCAAGCAGTTTCGAAGTGAGAGCCTCGGTCTGAAGCCATTGAATCTCCTGGAAGTGGCCCCCAAAGCTTTGCATTGAAGAGGGCAGGAGATCAACATGAATTTCAGCTTTACTCTTCTTCCACGTCAGAATCTTAAAGATGGGACCAAATCTACCCCGATGAAATCAAGGTAAGGATTCGATTTTTTTTTGAGAGTAACGACAACAATGACGACTACTCGTCATGTTTATGCGGAATTTTTCCTTCGTTCTACCCGTAAAAGACAATCCCTCCCTAGCATCACCTCTTCAACAAAGTTGGCGGAGATATCTGGGAACCTAAATCCCCGCCATTGTCATACTTTCACGTCGCAGCTCCGCATTTCATCATCTGAAATAATATGTTTTATAGCTCTCATACAAAAACTATACGCCACCGAGAGGGTTTCAGATCCTTCTGGCCACTTTGACCTCATGACGCCCCAATCGACGTGAAAACTCATTTTCAATGGACCCCCTCAAGCCATCCTCCACATACATAGTGATTGAATGTTAGATTGCATGACTACTTCCGGTTATACCCAAAAACCCTTTTTAAATAATTTTTCCTTTTTTTTTTTAAATTAAATTTAATTAATTAATCGTAAAACTTCATTAAACTCCTAAAAAATTAAAAACAAAAACATTATTTACATATAAGTATTGAAATTGCATAATTAATTAATATCAAGGCGTTTTTAAAATAAATTTTTTTTTTTTTTCACGTAACCTGGAAGTTATTAACTTTTACTTTCAAATATTAATAAAGTTTTTAATAATAAAAATGATTACAATTTACAACGATAATGTATTTTTTAATAAGTTAAAATAATACTAGTAAATAATAATAATAATTTTAATATTACTTAAAAAATAAAATATATTTACGTTTAAAATTCATTCAAATGTGTCCGAGTATATATTTACATACATAAATTTTTTTTTGCTATGTTAATAACGCATAAAATTATTTAACAATTACGTTAATAATAATAATAATGATAAATGTTTTGAAAAAAAGAAAAAAGTTATGGAGTTATCTCATTGAAAAAAAAAAATTTAAATAAACAAAATTTAATTATTTGTTAATTTTAGAAGTAACAATAAATAATTAGAGTGTGACCGATTTTTTTTATTTATATTTTCACAGTCGTGACCAATGTATACTTATTATCATTATTATTTAAAACGATGTAATTTTTTTTTTTTTGTGAATGGATTTGGAATCTTAAAGAAAGAAGAGAAGAGAAGATCCTCTTAAACTTCAAGTTACGTAATAAAAATTATTTATTTATTTTTGT